AAGATCTACGCGATGCTGCTTGGGTCACAACTCTGCATTGCAACGGGTTCATGATGGCTACCGAATGCTATAACAAGTCTCATGCTGAAACAGAACAACAGAGAACAGCATAAGAGGTTAACTGAATCTCCAATCAAACGGATTAGTCATGTGGTGACATTGCTTTGAGAACACTAGAAAATATGGTAACATTGATTTTAGAACACTAAAGCCCTCTTTGGCACGGCTCATCCAAAACGGCTTCACCGGTGAAGCCAAAGCCGGTGAAGCCAGAAAAGCTGGCTTTTTCCGGCTCCTAGTTCATTTTAACCCTAGCTTACAAAACGGCTTCACGCTACAGTGCCTTGATTTACGCAAAATAGATGAAGCCGAAGCCGGCATAAGCCGTGCCTAAGAGGCCCTAAAAACTCCACTTCTAGCCGGTCATCAAATGTATTTGTTATTTTTTTTTGGATAGAGTGCGGCCATCAAATTTTAATCTTCATTGGCAGCATCGATCATGCACAATTGCACATGATGCTGGCGGAGCCAGGATTTTGGAGTTGGGTATTCCCATCTCCTAAACAAAAAAAGTTTAATCCAAAGGTCTAAAATATAGTTCATAGATAATTAAAGGTGTAAATTGTTCAAGTCCATACATGAAACGAACTAAAAATAAAAAACTACAGAATGCTTAAAGAGAACTACAATTTTTTTGCTTAAACCTTGTGATCCTTCATGGCATAAGAAATTACAGAATGCTTTAAAGAGAACTACAATTTTGCTTTGACTTTGTGATCCTTCATGGCTTGGAAGCGGTTATGATGTCTTTCTCTTTAACTTGCAAAAACAACAATTAGCTATCTTTCTTTGTGTTTCAGGGGCATTTAACTTACAATTCTTGGGGCATTTTTCAAAACCACCAACCTCTTCAAAGTTTTCAGCTAGCACATTTAACAGCTCAAGATAACTTCCTTTATTAAGTGAACTTTCATTTTCATCATGTCGACTAGAAGCTAAACCTTGACGTACAAGAAACTTAACACATTTAACAGATTTGGACAAGCTGTACTAATTCAGGCTCAGAAATAGCATAATGCTGTAAATCAGAACACGTTGCTCACCGGCAGGCCAGGAACCCACCGCCGCTCGTCGGGAGTAGCTGGATTTAGGATAGGAACTGAGAAGGGTATCAGATTTGGGGAATTGCCGTCGCGGTGTCGCCCGTCGGGAGAGGGTCACGCACGTCGCACGGAGCCAGGAGCCCAGGACTCACGGGATTGGGGAATTCCAGAAACTTTTTTTTAATAATAATGGGGAATTCCAGAATTGTCTGAATGGGAGAACGTGCGTGAGGCTTAATGGGCCTTGTGGGCTGACATGGTCGCATAGGAAAGGAGAGGAGGACGCATTGGCATGTCTGTAGGCTGAGTTCCTATCAGAGAATTAATAGCAATATATACATTATACATATGAGTATACTTATATATATACTTGTTGTTGTAGCAAAAAAGTTGGGTATTCCTAGGAATACACAGGCATCACTGTAGATCCGCCCATGGTCTGCATGCATGGTAGTCTAGAACTGAAGCCCCATTAACCAGTTGCCTAGTAATTTACATTATTAATTTAAATTTTGTCGAATGCTTGCTAGATAAAAAAATTGAATCAGTAAAGAGGGGGCAATGTCCACTGACCTTGAAGAAGCGCCCGTGAATTTGTGACATGATCCAACATGGCAAGCTGTCTCTCGATCAATTGGCACTTAGCGATGGATTGGAGATCAGCAACGACAAGCATAGCTTGCACACCAACTCACGGTGTTAGCTATGTCGGGATAGACGAGGCACCAGACCGCGTATTGGACATCGACAATACCTCACAGTGTTTCCGGCAAGCTTGGAGGCGGTGGCGCATCTGGCGGCGGCGTGACCAGTGGCGCCGAGGCGTCGAGGGGCGTGGGCGTGACCGTGATTGATCGAGATATCTTTTTTCCACGCGTGCATGATTGTGGGTAGAGGCTGCGGGCTTGTGGCCTTGGGTGGAGGGGGAGATGCGAGCGTGATCGTGATTGGCTGGAATTTTTTTTCCCGCTCGTGCGTGATTTTGGCGAGGGGTTGCGGCCTTGCGGGGGAGGGGAGCGGAGACGCGTGCGATGGCGATTTTGTTTCCACCTGATTGTGCGTTGAAGCCTAGAGGGTGGGGAGATCCAAATAACGTTCGTCATCGGATCGAGTTGAAGCCTGTGAGAGAGGATTATGAGCCATAAATTTTAATGTTGTTAAAATCTTGGGTGCAATTTCATTGGTGCACAATGATTGGCTCCCTCGATGGGAGATGCATTGTTTGGTGTATCTAAAATAGTTTGGATTGGTCTCTTATAGTAGAGATAAAACATCTAATAAAAGAAGCATCTTCTTCTAAATATAGGAAATAAATCTTGCTCTACTAATCCCTAAGAGCAACTCCACCAAATTAAGAAAACAATCTTCTTTCCCTAAAACCTGTCATATAGGGGAATAGCTCTAGCAGATCACTTTTCTCAATCTCTACTATAATGGACCAATCCAAATTATCTTAGGTCCACCCAAGATTGCGTCTCCCACTGAGAAAGTCCAACCATTGTGTAGCAATAAAATCGCACCCAGAATTTCAACATCATCTTCTATTATAATGGACCAATCCAAATTATTTTAGGTCCACCCAACATCGCGTCCCCCCTCTGAGAGAGTCCAACCATTGTGCACCAATAAAATTACACCTAGAATTTCAACATCGTTAAAATCTATGGCTCATAATTCTCCCTCATAAGCCTCAAACTCAATCAAACGGCAGTGTTATCTGGATCATTCCCAGGCTTCAATGCTGCTGTCGCCCACCCTCCCATAGATGCACGCCTCCCTCAACCTCCAACCCATGTCCGCGGCCAGGGCTTGATCCCTACCGCAGTTGTTTTTTCCCGAAAAAAATATGAAACATCCTTCCTCTCCTCTCCCATCGCTTCGTCTTTTTTTATTGAGCCTTTTACCTGTGTGCTATTATAAAAAATCAAAATTACTTATGTACCATTAAAAATTTCAAAAGTTCTCCTGTGCCCTTGCACGGAACTTCTTTTACCTATGTGCCACTTCCGACTATTTTGCCTGTAACAGCTGAAAAGACGCTTTTGCCCTAGTTGAAGAATGCATAAAAAATTTCATTCTTTCCACGTGCCACTGTAACCTCCTGTGTTGCTTAAAAAAATCATTTTTTCCTCTGGAGAGCTTGTGTGTGCACATGAAACAGATGCTCATCGGACGCGTCTCTTGCTCCGAGGAGGATCAATGGCAAGAAGCACGCGAGGATCTCTGCTGCTTGGCCCGTTGTGCGGCTCGGCCTCGCGGCTTGCCCTTCGACGCGCTCGTGGATGCGCTGCGCCCAGCCCTCAAGCGCGCCCACGCGGGGGACACGGACCCGCTCGGGCCACACCCGCTCGCCCGCGCGCGTGCTTCAGATGCGCCTGGCCGGCGGCCATGCCCCGCCCGCCTCGCCCGCGCGGCGGCCACGGGCCTTGCCCGCGCGCGGCCTGCGAGCGCGCCTACGTGCCGGTCGCGCCCCGCCTCTCACCCAGCGTCGCCTGCGCGGGACCTCGCCGCCACCCTGATGCGCCCCTCCCGCCGCTCTGCCTCCCTGCTATCTAGGTCTGAGCTGATACGTTGACTGATGCTATTTTACTATGAAAAAACAATACTATTAATTAGCTGACAACCTCTTGCCGCCGCATGCGAACTGGGAGTGTGCTCGGCTGGGATAATTTTTACTGTTTATACAAGAAAATACTATTTATATTAAAAATTTATGAGAGAAAAATACCGTTTCCAGTTAAAAAAACAAGCCGATGCTCAGCCGAACAACCGGAAGTCTCGATGGGAGGCGTAGAGGTACGCGTCCTGAACTGGATAGAGTCATGGGCAAAAGGGTCATTTCGTGTCCAGTATGGCCCCGAGCTCCGTTAAAACTAAGCGGCAGTGGACGGTAGTGGCACGCAGGTAAAAGAACTTTCAGACGATGGTAGTGGATAACTTTTCAAATTTTGAATGGTACAGTGATAATTATGATGTTTTATAATGGCACACAAGGCTCTTTTTTATCGCCTTGGTCCCTACTTCACCTCCACTCGAGCGACAGAAGCCGCGTACCTCTGCACTTCCGCCTCCGCCGCCGCCGCCGCCGCCTTGGTCCCTACTTCGGTGAGCTCCCCAGCTCCGGCGGCCACCTCCGGCTATCCGGCGATGGCCGGATCTGGTGGATCTGCTTCTCCTCTTTCTCCCCACCCCGTTCTTCTTCCTTGTCAATGGCCGCGCGGGACCGCCCCGACGACCTGCGCGCGCGCCGCGACGGCATCGTCAACCGCCTCTACACCGCCACTGCCGGCTGTACCAACTGCGTCGGGCGTCCGCCACCTGTTGCCGCTTTAGCGGCGGCGGGGCTGGATGAGCCGCCTCCTCTCCCCAGGTGTCCCGATCTCGTAAGATCCCTTTCCCTGCTCTGTTTTATGCAATAAAGAGCAAATTCTGCCTGCTTTTTGGCTGTTCATTGCGATTGCTGCGGTGAGAATAGCGATTAGGGTTTTGAGGAGGATTATTGGGTGTACAACTTGCTGGCTCATTCGAGGCTGTATCTGGCTGTGGCCTTCGTTCGATCATTTTGTACGTGCAAGGATTCAATAAGTTCTATTGGGTGTGCGATTTGTTACTTTTTTTTTGCTTTAATTGACAAGCCGCTGAAGTTCAGAACTCCAAGTCCCAACCCTTTGAAATGAAAAGTTAACAGCAATACATAGAATCATAACTAGAGTCTAGATGACAGGCACAAAAAAAAATTGCTTGTTAGTATTGTAGAACCATCGGTCTCCCCACCACCACACTGAATTTGTTTCAGTTATTGTCTCCTTACCTGATGGTTGGTGCAGGGACACACAAGATGCTGCATCGTAGCTGGGTCGGCGTCTCGGCATACGTCTCAAAGTATTTGTTTGGACCATGCGCTTCACCAGTGGGCTGTGCAATGGATTCACAACGCGGATCACTCTGAAGAAGACTCTTTCTGCTGCTACTGTGATGAATCTTGCAATGGAGATTTCCTTGAGGGGTCACTGGTTTGGTACTGTATGTGTTAGCGGCTGGTGCATGTTGATTGTCATAGCAGCTTGGCCAAGGAAACTGGTGATATCTGTGACTTGGGACCATTATTTAAGCGGTTGATTTTATCACATCTTTTAAGGAGCTTCATTGGACAAGTGTTGGGATTTTGAGTTCTATCACAAATGGGGCTAATGAATTGGCTTCCACTGTCCGAGACAATTCGGATTCATAGTAAAAGGTATAAAATATAATCAAGTCAAGCTATAGAAAGGCACTATGAATTAGTAGATTTCTAGGACCTGCAAAGTTAACCTTTTTTTATACATCCAGTGGATTAATGTTTTTTTCTCAAGCATACTAATGAATTTTCTTTCCATTCAGTCAAATGTATTTTCACTTCACTTCTATCAGATTCCTCATATAGCTATCATACTAATTAAAACAGTGTAATGAGAAAAGTAAGGAATACACATCAGTAAAAAAATCTATTCAAGTTATATAAAGGCACTATAAATCAGTGAAGGGCGGCCAGGGCGGCGTTTGAGGCGGCGTTGGCGGGGCAGGCCGATTAGGATTAGGGAAGGGCGGGGATGGAGCGGCGGGGGTTGGCGGCGGGGGAGACGAGCGACGGGCTGGGCTGAACAGTCACAGTCCGCAGGCGTTACGCTGCATTGATAGAAAGAATCTCAAACGCAAGGATAGTTGGTTTTGCTCTTGCTCCTCCGGCAATGGCTAGCAGTTGCCAGATTCACCGATGTACGTGGTCATTGTCATGCTTAGCAAATAGAGATAGTTGGTTTTGCTCTTGCTCCTCTGGCAATGGCTAGCAGTTGCCAGATTCACTAATGTACGTGGTCATTGTCATGCTTAGCAAATAGTGTTGGTGATGGCTATAGGCCTCAAGAGAGCGTCAAAATTTTCTGAATTATTGTTTGTATGTGTCGATGTTACTTTCTGCAAGCGATTTATATATAAGTGCTCTTGGGGACTGGAATTTGTACTTTACAACTCTTATTACTTCATGATTCATGATCTAATATGAGGCCATTCACAGGTGTGCTCAAACCTGCCTGATGGCCGTGGCCTTGCTCCGACTTCTTCGACAAAGGACGGGATCCATTCCTGTCACCTCACCAGCAATGCTGTTGCTGGTGAGATGCTGCTCCACTGCGCCTACCCAGCCTGCTGCTGCATCCAGCGAAGAGTGCTGTTATGCGCTGTAAGTCCCTCTCAACCTAAGTTTTTTTTCTTGCTACTACTTTGTGACTCTTAGTAAACTACAGGCTGGAGCTGTGCAACTAATACTGTTCACGTGATATTTTATTCTGTATTGTAGGGGCGCGTTTGGAAAGATGCAATGCAATTCAGCAGAGAGCAGTTCATACCATTTGACAAGTATATGAAGGAGAACGAGAACTCAATTCTGGAGCCAGTACCCATGGATAGTCTGATATCGCCAGTTGACGAAGATTTCAACTACTTCATAGCTGAATCTGCCAAAAATTTATCTGATCTGGGTATCTAGCAGCTCACTTTGCCAAGATATTGAAGCTGTCTATTTCTGGAGCTTTTGCTGATGGCAATGTCGGGGTCATCTCAGGGCTTAACATACTTGCCTTTTCTCAAGCTAGATACAGACTTGTGTAGCGTTCCTGATCGTTATCCTTTGACGTATGTTGGATTCTCATCGTTCTTACACGCAAAAATAAGAGAGATTTACTCAAGAGTCAAAAGCAAGACGCATGTCTGACGGACTAAGGGAGTTAATCAAGCTTACTTATGATACCAATGTTCCTGATAATATGGTAATTTAACACACAGAATACTTGTCACTTAAAGCCATTGCTAGCTTTTATATTGAAGCCCACAGGATTTTGAGAAGGCAAATGTCATCTACTGACGAAGATCGTCTAACCTATGGTATTATTCTGCACCTGCACGCAATGTTAGGACCTGGTTACTTCAAGTGCTGTGCTTTAGATCCTATCATTAGTTGATGGCTTGGTCAGCAGGCCAACTCGCTTGGGCTGCTGGGGGCCTTTGGTATGCGCAGCCGAACCTCGCACTGCTGAAAGGGCGTGAAAGGAAAAAGATGCAGAAACTGACAATGAAGGCTTATGGGATGTCACCACCTCCTACTGCGAGTACAAAGCCTCCACCACCTGTTTACGGTGGTGCAGGCAGACCAAAGGCCCCCAGCAGCCCAGGCGGGTTGGCTTGCTGACCAAGCCATCCACTAATGATAGGGTCTAAAGCACAGCGTTTGAAGTAACCAGGTCCTAACATTGCGTGTAGGTGCAGAATAATACCATAGGCTAGACGATCTTCGCCAGTAGATGACATTTGTCTTCTCAAAATCTTGTGGGCTTCAATATAAAGGCTAGCAATGGCTTCAAGTGACAAGAATTTTGTGTGGTAAATTACCATATTGTTAGGAATATTGGTATCATAAGTAAGCTTGATTAACTCCCTTAGTCCGTCAGACATGCGTTTTGCTTTTGACTCTTGAGTAAATCTCTCTCATTTTTATGTGCAAGAACGATGAGAATCCAGCATACGTTAAAGGATAACGATCAGGAACACTAGACAAGTCTGTATCTAGCTTGAGAAAGACGAGTATGTTAAGCCCTGAGATGACCCCGACATTGTCATCAGCAAAAGCTCCAGAAATAGACAGCTTCAATATCTTGGCAAAGTGGGCTGCTAGATACCCAGATCGGATAAATTTTTGGCAGGTTCAGCTATGAAGTAGTTGAAATCTTCGTCAACTGGCGATATCAGTCTGTCCATGGGTACTGGCTCCAGAATTGAGTTCTCATTCTCCTTCATATAGTTGTCAAATGGTATTTCGAATAAATGGATTTTATGCGGGGTTTTGGCGGTTAAATTTAGGCATTAAGGACCGCCAACATAGTTGATGTTTAAGTTTATAACTTGATGAATGTGTTGCTGCTGGTGTAATCCTCTAGATGCTCTAGAGAAGACTCATTGTACCCAATGTTGATTACAGTGGAAGCTTGGAGTGGATCGGTTGGTCCCTGGTTTTTACTCCTCACCTTTAGGAGGTTTTTCACGTAAATCGATGTGTCTATTGTGTATGTGATTGTTAATTTATGTTGCTGATCTGATGATAGATGTTGTTATGATTCATCATAAGATGAGGGATTAATTGTGCATTGTCTTTGCCCTTTTATCTCAAAAATTTATCATGATGAGTGTAGCATGTAGGGCCCGTGAACTTAGCGGATACTATGATAGCACCGAAGGTTGCCAATTCGTCAGTTCGATCTATGATTTCGCATTCATGGACGTTGATAAGATCCTTCCATTTAGTAGCACCTTAGGATGGCATAGCCTTAACGTTAATGGCGAGGTTCAAAAGAGGAAAGGCTTGCAGTGGATACCTAGGCACCCAGAGAGGATTACTTTCTTTATATATGAGTCTAGCCCAAATGCAATTTGTATAGAACTCGTGCGGGGCCCAACCTCTACTAGAGGACACGGCACGTGGAGATTGGAGATCACTGCAAAGCTTCAGTCAGGCAAGGTGCGGCGAGTCTCTTGTAGGTGGTGTGCGAACCTTTCTATGTGGGCAACATATCAGGTGCAAACTTGGAACTACCAATCAGGACCACTAGATGCTGATCCAATAGATGGGGTGAGGGGGCTTAAGCGCAAAAAAAAGGCCGACGGGTGGGAGGCTTAAGCGCAAAAAATCACACCTCTCACCCCATCCATTGGATCAGCATCTAGTGGTCCTGATTGGTAGTTTTTAAGTTTGCATAGGTTGGTTGGTTTGCACCTGATACACTGCCTTTTATGTGGGCCACCAAACTCGGCCATGGGTCCCATATTTGCCCGGCATTTGGAAGCCCACACGAAGGGGGCTACGGGAATCATCTGGTCCGAGTGCTCGGACCGTGTCCATGCGCCGAGCAGTAGGCGGAGTGTGCTTTTTTATTGGATTGACATTGCTGTTTTTCTATGGGCCAACCTACCTACGTGTCTGCTAACACCAAATTTTGGTAAGATTCTTTAATGGGTTTAGTTAAAGAAAGAGCGCAATCAGCCGATGGAAAGCTTATAGAGAAGAGACCGAATTCAGGAAGGAATCGTGAAGGCCATAGTATCAGCTCAGGTGAAGGTCGAGATGGCGACTAGAGGGGGGGTGAATAGTCGTTTCTAAAACTTAATCGCGTCGGCCAACCGAAACAAGTGTGGAATTAAAACTATCGGTCTAGCCAAGACTACACCCCTCTATCTATGTTCTCTAGCACCTTACAAAGATCCTAATTAAGTAACAAAGGTGCCGGGCTAACTAGAGCTCACCTAACCAATTCTAGGAGCAATGTCACACAAACCTATGCCACTAGTATTTCAAGCAATGAGCGAGCTCCTACACATGCTAGTAAGCAAAAGCCAAAGCCAACTAAGCTCAGTAGCAATGCTCAATAACAAGGCAACCAATGCCAAATTAGAGAGCGCAAATACTTAGCTACACAAACTAAGCAAAGTGACTAACAAGGTTACACAAACCAAATTAGCCACGCAAGGGAGCTACTTCGATGCTACACAAGCAAGAAGGTAACTAGTGAGCTACACAAGCTAACTAATTACAAGAGCAACTACACAAGCACAATGTATATAAAAGTAATCACAAGCTTGTGTAAGGGGATTACAAACCAACGGGAAGAACAAAGTTGACACAGTGATTTTCTCCCGAGGTTCACGTGCTTGCCAACACGCTACGTCCCCGTTGTGTCGACCGCTCACTTGGAGGTTCGGTAGCGAATTGGCATCACCCGCCAAGCCCGCACGTCGGGCACCGCAAGAACCTACCCCAAAAGTGAGGGTAGCTCAATGACACGCTCAACTAGAGTTGCTCTCCACGGCTCTCGCGGGGCGAGCACAATGCCCCTCACAAAGCTCTTCTCCAGAGCACCGCACAAGCTTCTTGCGGGCTTCGACGGAGACCACCACCATGCCGTCTAGGAGGTGGCAACCTCCAAGAGTAACAAGCACCACCGGCTTGCAACTCAATCACCTAGTGCCACTCGATGCAATCTCACAATGCAACGCACTAGAATCACACTCACTCGCAATCGATTTGCACTCTTGCAAGCACAAGTGAGTTTGAGGGCATCCAAGCAGTCCTACACAAGCCACATAGGCGTGAGGGTGCTCAGCAACCAGCCCAAGGCCGGCCACACACTCCTTTTATAGCCCCAAGGGCTAAAATAGCCGTTACCCCTTCACTAGGCAAAGTGCGTACTGACCGGACACACAGGTCATAACGACCGGACGCTGGAACCCAACGTCCGGTCACTTACAGAGAGGTTCCAACGACGTTTTTCAGCGACAGGACGCGTCTGGTCATCACTGACCGGACTCTCCCAACGTCCGGTCGCTTCTGGACACGCTAAAAACACTGACCGGACGCTGTGACCGGACTCGCAGGTGCTGACCGGACGCTGGGTTACATCATCCGATCGTTTTTCGTGCCAGTGTCCGGTCACAGACCTTTCAGCGCTAAAACGACTATAACTCTTTGCTCCGAACTCCGATTTCGATGATCTTGGACATTTTGGAAAGCTTACTCAGAGGGCTACACATCCCACATGCATACTTGATCCAAATCACAATGGATCAAAACAGTATTCCAATCCAAGGACCATCATATAGTTCGGAGTACACCGAAAAACCTTTTTCTCTTCTCTAAGTTGATTCACAACAACTCTAACTTCTTCTCCTTTGCAAATGTACCAACACCACCAAGTGTGCACCACCATGTGTATGTGTGTTAGCTTTTCACAAATATTTTCTAAAGAATTAGCCACTCAATTTGCCACGCCACTCGATCCTAGCGATGATGCAAAGTTAGATCACTCGAGTGGCACTAGATGACCGATATGCAAACAAGTTTACCCCTCTTGATAGTACGGTCATCTATCCTAAACCCGGTCATCAACTTCTCTACACACCTATGACCGGTGAAATGAAATGCCCTAGGTTATACCTTTGCCTTGCGCATTCCATTCCATCTCCTCCAATGTCGATGCAATACATGCACCAACATGATCAACAATGATATGATCCACTTCATATCATCATGTGATCATATTGGTTCATCGATCTTGACTTCACTTGCTTTTCACCGTTGCCTTCGTCCATCGGCGCCAAGTCTTGCTCAAGCTTCACCGCCACACGGTCCATCGCTCCAAAGCCTCCGACTTGCCCTTCACGCTTGTAGCCGGTCCATCAAGCCAAGTCTTGTCTTGATCTTCTCCACCTTGATCACATGACTCAATGTCATGTCTCATGTGCAATAAGCTCCTTCATCATCACATGTGTGAGTTTTGCAACATCTCCAAACCATTTTCACCTTCACGACATATGTTGCTCACACATATGTACCTGTGGACTAATCACCTGTGTATCTCACATAAACACAATTAGTCCACCTAGGTTGTCACTCAATTACCAAAACCACACAAGGACCTTTCAATCTCTCCCTTTTTGGTAATT